ATACAGTGTTCTCTGACCACAATGGAATGAACTGGAAGTCAGTAACAGAAGAAATATGGGAAATGCAAAAAAAATGTGGAAATCAAACAATATGCTCCTGAACAACCAACGGGTCAAAAAGGAAATCACAAATGTAATTAGAAAAGTTTTCGAGATGAATGAAAACAAAGACACAACACCGAAAGTTATAAAATATAGCTAAAACAGTTGCTTCTAGGAAACTTTATAGCTGCAAATGCCTATTAAGAATGAAGATCTCGGGCGCCTGGGTGGCTCAGTTGGTTAAGCGACTGCCTTTGGCTCAGGTCATGATCCCGGAGTCCAGCAATTGGGTCCCGCATTGGGCTCCCTGCTCAGTGGGGAGTCTGCTTCTCTCTCTGACCTTATTCCCTCTCATGCTCTCTTTCATTCTCTCTCTCAAATAAATAAATAAAATCTTAAGGAAAAAAAAAAAAGGAACGAAAATCTCAATCCAATAACCTAACATTCCACTTAAAGAAAATGCAAAAATAGCACACTAAACCCAGAAAAAGAAAGAAAAAACAAGGACTATAAAAGAAATTAAACAGAGAACAGAAAACCAATATAGAAAATCAACAAAAGCAAACGCTGGTTTTTTAAAAAAACACCAAAATTGACAAATCTTTAGGGAAACTGACCAAGGAGAGAGGACTTGAATTACTAAAATCAGAAATAAGAGAGGGGATATTACCATGGGTGCTGCAAAAATTCTGAAACCCATTAAAAAGAAACAGAAAGCCTCAGCAGACCTATAATAAATAATAAGACTGAATCAGTAATCAAAACCTCCTACAAAAAAACACCAGGACTGAATGGCTTCAAGCTTGAGACACTTAAAGAAGAATTAAGATCAATCCTTCACAAACTCTTCTAAAAGAAATAGAAGTGAAAGGAACACTTCCCAATTCAATGTATGAGTCCGGTATTACCACGATTATCAACATGGTTAACATCATAAGAAATGCAATCTATGGACCAGTATCTCTTATGAATATAGCTGCATAAATACTCAACAAAATACTAGCAAACTGATTCTATAAGCAAAAATAAGGATCATACACCATGGCTAAATGGGATTTACCACAGGAACACAATTAATGTAAAAGAATAAAAAACAAAAATCATGCCATTTCAATAAACAAAGGAAAAACATCTGGAAAAATATAATACCTTTTCATGATAAGTCAGTGAACTAGGAATAGAAGAGAATTTCTCTAACCTGATGAAAGTTATCTATAAAAACCCACAACTAACATCAAACTTAGTGATGAAAGACTGAATAGTATCCCTCTAAGATCATGAACTAGACAAGGATATCCACTTTTGCCACTTTCACACTGCACTGGAGGTTCTAATCAGGGCAATCAGACAAGAAATAAATGGCATCCAGTTTAAAGGAATAAGGAAAACTGCCTCTACTTACAGATAACATGATCTTGCGTATAGAAAATCCTGAGAAATTTACCAAAAAATTACATGAGTTCAGCAAGGTTACAAGATTACAAGGATACAAGATTAATGCACAAAAATCTGGTGTATTTGGGGGCACTTGGGTGGCTCAGTTGGTTAAGCATCTGCCTTTGGCTCTGGTCCTGGGATTGAGTCCTGCTTCAGGTTCCCTGCTCAGTGGGGAGCCTGCTTCTTCCTCTCCTCCCCACTCATGCTCTCTCTCTCTGTCTCTCTCTCTCTCTCTCAAATAATAAAATGAAAAATCTTTTAAAAAATAAATCAGGACTATTTCTATACATTTGTAATCAACAATCTGAAAAGAAAATTAGGAAAATTAGAATACTTAAGAATAAATTTGATTAAAAAAACATACAACTTGTACACTGAAAACTACAAATACTACTGAAAGAAATTAAGGAAGAATAAAGTGTTAGAGAGTTATGGATGAGAGGACTACTTTATCCCCAGAATACTGAAGAGATTTAGGACTTTGAAGCAAGGAACTAAAAACTGAAGTTGGTGGTGTAATTATGCATATGGAGCAGGTTAATCTATACCTTCTCCCTCTTTATCTTGTTAGAGAACAGTCTCAGCAGGGGAGGAAACCTGAAAACTCTTCTCTAGAAAATTAAATAACTCCTCTCCAAAATTTTTTTAAGGTTGTTCTTTTTTTTTTTTTTTGAAACAGACAGAGAGACAGAGACAGAGACAGAGCACAAGCAGAAGGAGAAGGAGAGCCTGATGTGGGACTGGATCCCTGAGACCCTGGGATCATGACCTGAGCTGAAGGCAGATGCTTAACCAACTGAGCCACCCAGGCATCCCTGCCCCAGAAATATTTTATGCCAACTTTTTGGCTCCTCCAACAAAACAGCTGTCTCCTTGCCCATTTCACAAAATAAAGCTCAGCCAGTTGCCAAGACCTGCTCAAGTACATGGAGCTTCCAACCAGTTTTAACACTTACTTAAGCATGGGTGTACAGTCTAGGATCAGTGCATAAAAGAATAAATCCTCTAGCATAAAAGGGAAAACACACACAATCATACCATAAACAGACAAAGTAATCCAGAGGAAAGCAAAGGTAATTCAGCTATAGATGAAAAACCTAAAAAAAGAATACACTATTTACTATTCTTAGAGATACCTAAGATATAGCCCTCAACAAACGGAAAATCCTAAAATGAAAAATAAGATTACTCATGATAAAACATTGATGGAAGAGAAAATAAAGAAGTCAAGGTAATTTTTTAAAGAGTAAAATAAAAAGATAAAGGGAGAGACAACATGACCGATAGAGAGAGAAAGACATTGAGGAGATGATTCCAGGATGCTCAACATTCAGCCAAAAGAGATTCTAGAAAAAGTAAACAGACAGAACATAGAGAAATCATTCAAGAAATAATAATTTTCCAGAATTGAGGGACAAGAATCTCTAGTCTGAAGAGTTCACTGATCATCAGCACAAGGAATTAAAAAAGATGAACAGGAAGGCACACCATTATTACATTTCAAAATACTGAAAAACAACAAATGAAACAAACAAAAGATCCTGAATGTCTGTGAAAGAAAAATAAGGTCACGTGTGAAAGAACAAAGATTACAAAGGCACTGTCCTCAATAGAACTGGATTTAAGAATAACATCTTTTAAGTTTTACTATCTTGAATTTCTATTCTTGGTTAAACAATCAAATATATGGCAAAATACATATCTTCAAATACAAAGATAAATAAATTATATTTCATATACTATTTCTTATGAAGTTACAAGAGGATACATTCCAGCATAACAAGTTACCGTCAACCCAGGAGAACAACAAAGGGAAACAGGCCCATGTTAACAGTGGGGCAGCCAGAATGGAAAGCAGCTGGTCCTCACTGAAGCAGGAAGATCTATGGTTCTGAGACAGAGATCTCCAAGAAAATAAATATGACTTCCTGGACAACTTTGGTTTAAAATAAAGTTAAAGACAGGAAGAAAAGGAACTCCATCAATTGCTGGATGGAGGAGAGAAAGAAGCTGTTCAAGGACGTAAAATTCAATGAACTAAAACTAAACTTATTTTTATATTGGGAAGAGAGTCAGGAAGTCAACAGACAAGCTTACACTGGATAAAGCAAGAAACTGCAGAAGGATGACATTATTAAGAAATATGGAAGACTTCCAAAATAAACAGGAACAAATATGAAAAAGCAAATGTTTCTGGTAAGCAGGTGGGGTACAGCAATATAGGCAGTTAATTTTTCTATTACATATCTTCAAGAACTCCTTGATTAAAGTACTGTACATGTATTAACTAGATAAAGATGAGAAACAAAATACTTTGAAATACTTGAAATACTTTGGTCACAACGAAGTTTTTATTTTCTTAGCTATTTAGCCAGTATTTGTCTGAATTTAGTGACTTACAGTGCCTACAATGGAATCCAAGGCCTTACACTGAAGGGATTACAAATAGCACATGGTTATTACTCCCCTAAGAAATCCGTAAGAATTTCAACAATAAGATTACTCACTGAAAGTTAAACCTCAAACCATACTAGATAAAAGCAGAGAAACCCTAAAATTCATCTAAAAGAGATGGAATGACATTAGGCTAAGAACTCAGAACAGCTTAATGCCATTAATATACCTAAAGAAATACTGTTAATCCAAAAGGGGCTTCGTCAGCAATTGAGGCACAGAAAGAGATTATAAAGACAATGCTGGCTTGTCTCCTCCATTGTTCAGGGTAGAGAGTATGTAAATTCCCACATATTTCTAAAACAAAGACAAATGTATACTGGTCCTTATAAAAAGTCTATGATATCATCTAACTCCTTGATGTGGTTCTATTCTTATCAAGCACACTTCTGACATCATTAGTTAATTTTCCCTATAAATATGCCAATAGGGAAAGAATGCAAAGATCATAAAATGAATGTTTGGCTTATTTAATTTTATACTTCTCATCAGCATTATTTTTATTTTATATGTCAACCTTTGTGACTTTAATTAATGCTGCCTGCTCAGGAAGATGAATTGCTGTTGATGTGCTATCAAAAATCAGGTTAATGACCTTGCAGGATAGAGGTACAAGTGAGAATGCACAAAATTCACAAAGGGATGGCCACACTGGATGGCGGGCGGGGGGCGGGGGGTGTCTGAGGATCCAGGTTTCCCTCTTCTCTTTACACTAAAATGAGTAAAAACAAAAACAGCAACTACAACAAAAAAACCAAAACATTTTTTCAGATAAACATCAGTTATACAAGAAAATACAAAGTTAATGCTGATTTTGCCACAACTCCTAACACTTGCATTTAACCAGCATTTCTATACTAAAGAGTTTGGAGAAGCAACTGCCACTGGGCAGCAAGCCAACAGAGCTATAGCACTAGTTCAAGACAGCTGTAGAGTCATTGAGTTTTTCAGTATCTTCTACTTGTTCATTTCCACTGGCATAATAAAAAATTATTTGGGAATAAAAATAATAATCTGCCCTACCCTACTCTTTGATGCCAATTAAACAGCAAAAAGAGAAAACTTACATGGCACTGTGGTTCCAAATCTAGTGGGATTCAACACTATGAACCTGTTTTTCAAGCTTCTTCGTCCCACACCTTGGGCTCCTATTAATACTAATGTCTTTCTCTGGAAAGGAGGCATTTTGGCTACTTCCTCATATATCTGGATTTCATGACGATCAAATTCTAAATGTAAAAGGAAATGGAGAATTGTGATACTCAGTTATCTTTTAGAAGGATGAAAAACCTCTGCAATTCTGTTCAGTAAGGGATTGGTTGTCTGACAGGTAAATATCCCTTGAATTGTACTAACTTACTATAGATTCATTTTTATAAATATGGTAAGTTCAAGAAACTATTTTTTATCTTGATTTAAACATCTGCTTCTATCCATTTGCTCTTAAAAATTTGTCTAAGCAAGAAAATGCCTGTGCTTTATCTTTATCATACATTCTATCCATCTATCTAGGCTTTTTTATCAATTCTCAGTAGAAGTAGTTCCTTTAATATATATAATCAAACTGCAAATTACCTTAAGTAATTTGTTCAGCCACTAATGTGTATCAGACATAAAAGATGTCAGTACACCTAGTGTGGCTGCTTAAATAAGTCCCACAGAATGAGTATGCCCTTCCAATCATATAAATGAAAACATCCTGTGTATTGACTCAGCAAATACCAGTATGATTAAATAAAATGCATAAAAATATACTGATAATTACATTTTAAGATTATGAATTTCTGTATAAAATGTTGGAGCCAAACTATTTTCAGTCAAAACACATTCCAAAATTAAATCTTGTTCAATGAGAAAATTGCAAGTTTTCTATTTTGCAAAAAAGCTGTAAGGACATATATTTAATGAATAATAAGGACAAAGTGGATTTGAAATAGTACATTACCTGTTATTAGGGTTATAATTCTCAATCTGCAGTAATAACACTTCTTCCTTAGGTTATTATCTTAACAGCAACTCCTTCTTTGCATAATTTCTCCACGGAAGATTAAACCAATATTAAGGGAGAGTCTATTTTCTTCTTATTATTATTATGTATTATTTCCCTTATAGTGTGCTATTTAGTTTATAACCGGTATAGAGGCAGCTCTGAAGTCTAGAAAGTACTTTAAAATTGTCAATTCCTTTCAGAAGGCCTTCTCATTCAAAGAGCTGCAATTCATGCCTATCAGCCTCTAGAACTGAAAAGAATAACTATGGTAGCTGTCATACTTACCTTTCTTTACATCTAAAAGATTTAAGAGAGAATCCTACTAGATCAGGCTAAGATCTTTTTGGTCCAGTACTATTTTCCCAAAAGTATCATGGACAATGTTAAGGCAGAATATAGTTGCCCTTAATCATAACTCTATTAGTATCTTCCTAAAGGCATTTCTTTAGAAATGATACATAAATTACCATCAAAGTTCTCTGAATAAATAGTTTTAATAAGTTTGTTCCTTCATTAATACAAGAATAAATCCTAACCAATCCATTTTACTGTGAACTATACTCATAAAGAAAACACCTTGGTAACAGTATGAGTATATATAATGTAAAAATTAAAATAATCTGCATATTATATTGCACTATGTGCTCAAGTGACAGCCCCTTACAATCGGGCAGTAATCTGAATTACTTTCATTTAAAATTATATATTTGGAGTTTATGCCACATTAATTAATGATATAAAGCTATCTCATTTGGACCATTCAGAAAGTATTTAAAACATACCTGCATTTCTGGTTGTGAGATACATCATCTTTTTCTTTTTTTTGCTACTTATGGTCCCACAAAAAGGTCCTGAAGGGTGACAAGAGAAATATAACTTAAAACAGTATGTCAGAATATGATAAAACTGCCCTGTGGTATTCTATAGGGGTGGGAGAATTACCTTTCCAGTGTTGTGTCCTACAAAGCAGAAGGGGGCAGAAGTGAGTTGAGCCACTAAATCGTGATACTATATACCAGCAGGTGGCACACAGGGATCAAAAAGTTTACTTTTGAGAGAGATACAATAAAGTAGATGGGATGGATTAATTTCAAATATATTTTAAATAAATTCTTTTGCTGATTCGGATGAAAGAGGAAAAGAAAGGTCACCACAAAGGACTACTTGTTACACTCTGTGTTGAGCTCCTCACCTGAATTGTCCCAGTCTCTTCTCACAAATGCCTTTCTCTTCTCTTCCAGGAACTGGCTTGGAATGAGACCAGCGCTTCCTCCCTCTTTTACATGGCTAGCCTAGAATCAAATCAATGAATTGCATATCTCAGTGACCAAAATTTAAGACCATATTCTAATGAGGAGGACAATCAGTAGTCAGTAAAAATATAACACATTAGCTCTTCAAAACTGACCTTAAGATGTAAATCCATGGCATTGTCAGTTAAGATATTTAAACACTTTAGCACTAAGGAATCAAATGGCACCTAATCACTCTGCCATCTGGTATCAAAATTTTGGGACCAAAATGCAAAGGTATAGAGGATCTTTAAATTACTGCAACTTTTTATTCATAATGTTAAGTTAGTCTGAGAACAGAAAGGATAAATACTATTTTATGTGTTAAAAGAACATTTCATTAGCACCCTTAATAAGGTACTTACTATCAACCTTAATCTTACTAGAGAGATAGAATCTTAATAACCTAAGTTTAAAATAGGTAAAACTACATCTACTGTCAAGAAACTAAGTTTTGAAATCCAAAAAAGTGCTATTTTAAAATAGTGACTAAAGAACTGTGTGCTAGAGACTTATCCCACGAGGTTAGGGTTTTTTATATTTACAACTAGCACTGAAAAATTTGGTTATCATTTTTAGCCATTAAAATCCTAAAAAATAGAATTAAAGTAACAGATCACCAAATGCAAGAAGAGACTGAAATAACGGTGACAGGAGGAGAGGGAAACGAAGAGACAACATTCACAGAAAGGGGTAGAAAAGAAAGATTTCCTGGAAAAGTTCAATAAAGAAAACAGAAAGTGTTTTTTGAAGAGAGTTCTAAGAAATTCAGTGGAAACGTCTAGATCTCATGGATTCTTTTAAACTTACTTACGTTTTAGTTCTCTCACTGCATAATGCACTTGTATATAATAACGTCTTCATTTAAATTTAAGGACACATTAGTAAGACTATTTTCACTCTTGTTATTCACTCCCCCTTAGAAATCAATCAATATAACTTAACAGAGCAAATGTGAGTTACTAGTATCTCCATTTAATTTAGAGTTTATAGTGCTAGGTCCTGGGTCCTTTCCTCGTACACCTTCCTTTTTAATCACTTGTTCTGATAGTTTAAGGAATTTTAGACTTTCTGACTTGTCAGTTTCTCCAGCTCTGAATACTGTTGGTATTGGACAGTGTAAACAATTACAAAATCAGACTTAATCTGCTGCTAGAGATTTCTAAAAGCTGTAGTAGGGGAAAATATGGTGATAACAAAATCCCTTTTCATATACACATATTTTAATCCAAGACCAACTAACACTAATCATAAGCTAAACTTTCATTTCTAAGTAACTGAGGAGAGGTAGGGAAACAAATTTAAGAGCTTAAGAAATTTGTTTTTTTTGCCATGAATGTATATAGAGGGAGAGGAGACAACAGAGAAAGACACTACTACACACATAGTAAAAGACTTCTAGTTAAAACAATAAACATTGAGAAGGGATGACCCCAAGTAAGTTGTTCTTGACCAATACTATATTTTATTACAAACACTCATGTGGAAGAACCAACTATTCTAATCCTTAAACCAATGGAGTATCTCCACAGGCTAGTTAATTTTGCATTTAGTAACAGCTACTCACAAAGTCCCTCTCAATTTGATCTTTTCTGTCCACAAAATGAGCAGCCATGAAGCTGGAGCTGTCCAGGTAGGAAAAATCATTGGAACAAATGCTAATACCTTCTTGAATAATATCGGCCAGATCTAAGATTGAAAACAAAAAAGCAGTTGTGGAAATTATGAGAAGCATACTAACCTGCCACCAGTTTGGATCTTCTCTGTTTACAATTTGAAGAATTTCTCCTTTTGAAAACTTCAATCCTGCTTCTTTGCAGGGTATCAGATTATCATTGTATGGATTATAATCAAAATGACATTTCACAAATACCTAAAACACACAGCACAATTTAAAGTAGTATGGATGTAGCATTTGTCACTAGATTTTTAAAATCTTTTTCAAATTGTTAATTATAATTGAGAATTTATTTAGTACTTCAAATAAGGACCTTGTCCCACTCAAATAAAAATCAATTATTATGCATAATTTGGCATCAGAAAAGAAAATATTAGTACTACAATTAAAACTTTGTTTCTACATTAATGTCTAATCTTAAACCAACAGTTTGATAATCATTTTACTCCACCATTCTTATACTTTCTCCCCATCTTTTCACATGATTTCTAACTCTGCATAATTTTTGTTCAATTAAATGACACTTTCTGATTAATACCCAGCAACAATATATGCAGCTGATTTAAGGCATATATTTCAGATATAACAGGACTTTTTTGGGGGGGAGGTTGCTTTTTGAAAGAGCCCAGAAATCAAAATTAAACAATGAAAATTGATGTTGAAGTCAGACCTGAAATATATTTAGTAGCTTAAAAAAAAAAAAAAATTAAAAACCTAATTTTCATCACTGGTAACATATGTTTTATAATCACAGATTTACACTGACCAAAATTTGTGTGGAAAATACTTTTCTGAAATCATTTTGCTTTGATCTAAATAACTAACATTAAATTAACTGTAAGAAAAACACTGAAAAGACCTTGAAACTATTTCTCAATTTAAAGTCACTAAACTATACAAACTTCTTTTAAATATGTTTTGTTAATAAAAGTATGCCAGTAAGTTACCACTATTAGTTATCTCCAATAACTGATCCAATAACTGGATCCAATAACTAGAATATTCTGCTTATTCACTTCAATGTAAATCCTAATAAGTTAAGTATTTTCAGTATTTGATGGCAAGTTCAGATTACTTTCTTAAAAAAGCTTTTTCATGCATATTTATAAAAATACAAACTTTGTCTACTGAAGAACTGACTTGGCATTAATCAGCAGGTGAACTTTAACAAGCAGAAAAGCACAAAATTAGTCAAAATAACATTGTTATCATACTTTATAAATGTAACCAAGAAGATATTCAAGTAACACAGCAGATACATTATATTATTAGTGTGGTAAAACACAATGTGATGGATGCATATTAAAATAATAATTTAAAAGTAACTAATTTGGGAACATGTGACAAAATTTTAGTTATTTACAATTACATGATTTTGGTAGAAAGCATTCAGAACATTTTCAATAACTTTGGAAAGGCTAAGTATTATCTAAAAAATCAGTAAGCCAATTTTTTTAATATAAAAATTTAGAAACATCTAAAAAGCAAGCATACAAACAATATTAAGATTGCTAAAATGTGACAACTGGCTAACTTGAAAATGGCATGCAGCTCAATGTTTTGGTAATGGAAAAAGAAAACCCAAATTATTATTTAATCAAGGTAAATTTAGTTGGCTGGTAAGACGGAAAAACGGAGTACCAAAGAATGTCCTGGAATGACATCATACCTGACGGACGTGTGCTGGATGCCTCTCCATACTGATGCAACTCTAAAAATATATTTTTCATTGCATAAATAAAGCCAGACTTTTAAATTGATAATAAATTAACAAAACATAAACAAACTACTGGCCCATTTTATTACTTCACTCATTTGGTAAAGTAACTACTTCCCTCATTAATTGTTCATAGGGTGTAACACCTGAAAATTACAAACGATAGAAGCAAAAAGGTCAAAGTGTTTGTGATGAGGCAGAGAAAAAGGATGGGTATGCAAAGTTTTAAAAAAATACTTGAATACTCTTTACTTCTCAAGAAAGCTGCACCAAATGAATAATAAGAGCATCCTGTCATCTAACCAGGAATGTGTTTATCATTCTTATCTGTGGGACAACATACATTTTGTAGCCATAAATCCGGATTTTCTGAAGTAGTCTAAATTTTAAATAATTATTCCCCTGCTCCCATCAAACTGTTTTGGAAATGTCATTATTTGTGGAACAAAACATATCTCTCAAATGTAAAACATTTCTAGAGGGAACAATTCTTATTATTTCACTTATTAAACTACTTTTAGAACATTCTAATGCTCAAAAACTCAGATTAGCCTGGTTTTACTTTGACTTTTAAAAATCTGTCTGAAAAATCAATTAACCCAACCTTTGATCTGAAGATTTTGTAATGATGTGAAAGTCATTAGAGTTATGATCAAATTTAATATCATTATATTTTATTTTATTAAGTATATTGTAAAATGTTTTACTAATAGGCTATGGATGTTTACAATTCATTATTAAGAAGTTATTAAACACTACTAAAATATTCAATCTCATATTCTTATCACTAAAAGAAAAACTGAACAACTGACAATCTAAAGTAGACGGAACAGAGAATGGGAAGTACAAATGGCTTTTAAACACAAGAAATGTTCAATGTCACTCAGAATAGAAATATGAATTAAAACTATATTATAACAACATTTTCTTCCTGCTGGATTAGCAGAAATCCAAATATTTGGTAGAATTCTATGGATAAGACTTTGAGCCAATAGGCACTTTCCTAACAGGTTAGTGGAGGATCTGGCTCAATCCCTTGGGAGAACAATTTGACAATAGCTATTAAATTACAAATGTAAAAATCTTCTCACCTAATAATCCACCTCTGGGAATGTATTAAGCAGCAATGCTGCTCAGACATATGTAAAATGTCTTATGTACAGGACTATTAACTACTAAATTAGTCCTAGTAGCAGAAGATCGAAAGCAACCTAATTGTTTAATAATAGGGAACTGGTTAAATAAATGATGATATAATACTATGATATAATAGTATTATATAATACATTGTATTATATAATACAATAATACATGATATAATACTATGCAGCTATTAAAAAGGGTGGGGAGGTGGTGATGATGTCAAGAAGTAGTCTATGTACCAATAAGGAAACATCCAAAAGATACATGGTTAAGTGAAAAAACCAAGTAGTGTATATACTATGTAACCTTTTCATTGAAAAGGAGGTAGAACAGGAATAATAATATGTAATTTTTACTTACTTGCACATGAATGATAGAAAGATAAACTAATAGCATGGTTTCTTACGGGGAGTGAGGACTAGGCTTATAGTGGATCATGAGAGATTTCAATTGAATACCTATTTATATTTCTTGAATTTTGACCATTGGAATGATTCACCTATTTAAAAATTAAATTCTCATGGTAATAAAAATAAGATAAAATGACTCACACTCTGAATAAGATGAACCAATAAAGGACTGTGCAACCTGAAACAACTAAAATATTGGACAAAATTTGACAAAACATTTTTTAAGACATCAAGCAATGAAGTCAGTGATCCCTAAAAAATGGAAACAAACAAGATGAACTATTCAGTTGACCCTGCTAACTGCACAGAGAAAGTTCCCAGATTGCAACTCAGAAAGGAAGAATCTTAGTAGAGCCTGTGTGGTCTCCAAGTTGAGGAGATGAGCTGGGCGACCTGGGAGATCAAGGTGGCTGCAGCGTACAGAACAGAATAATCAGTGAGGAAAGGGTTGCATACTCAAGAACTGCAGAGCACTCCCTCCAGTCTTCAGGAGAGTACTGATCAGTGCATGGATATAACAAAACTACTCAAAGTCAGGTAAAGAACCTGCATGATAAGAAGCAATATCAGCAAGTCATACAGGGTCAGAAATAATTTCTTTTCTCATCAAGGTGAGTGGAAAAATCTCATAATTCATGAGGCACTGAGTAGATGGAAGGATTATGCCCCAGACTTGATCTGAAAGGATCAAACTGTTCCCAAGTAACTGAAGTATTCTAGAACAAAGTTTAAAAATTTTCTAAAGAAACAAAAATATCCAGCTTTCAACAAGGTAAAATTCATGTCTAACAACCAATCAAAAATAATATAATTTACAGTTGTGGAGAAAAATCAATTAAGAATGATCCAGAAATGATAAACATAATCAAATTAGCAGAGAAGGACATTAAAATAGTTATTTTAACTTTACATATTGTATTCTTAGGTTCAAGAAACTAGAGGAAGGACTAGGCATGTTAGGTAGAAACATGGCAGATAAAAAAAAAAAAAAAAAGGAAGACTCAATTTAGATTTCTAGAGATGAAAACCAAAATAAAATGGAAAAAGTACACCAGAAGTGACGAACAGATTAGACATTGAAGAAAATAAACTTGAAGATACAGCAATAGAAACTAAGATAAAAAACAGGGAAGTATTAAGATTTAAATGAAGAGAATCACTGAGAAATGGGACAATTTCAAGAAGCCTAATATATGCAGAAATGATGTCACCAAAGGAGAGAAGAAATGGGAACAGAAAAATAATCTGAAGAGGTAATAGTCAAAATGTTTCCAAATTTGATGAAAGAAATAGTCTTTTCAACAAATGGGGCTGGAAAATTGTTTATCTATATGCCAACCCCCATTTGTCCATATCTTAAACCTATACAAAAACTCATACACTGAATGAATCCTATTGCTAGATATAAAGCATAAAACTATACAACTTTCAGAAAAAATATCAAAGAAAATCTTTATGACCTTAGGTTATGCAACAATATTTTACACAGAATAATACAAGCATGATCTGTAAAAGATAAACATGGAAAAATTGGACTTCATCAAAATTAAGAACTTCTGCTCTTTGTATTACACAGTTAACAGAATGAAAAGACAAGCCTTTTCACTGTGAGGAAATCCTTACAAATCATAATTCTGATAAAGTAGTTGTATTCAGGGGCGCCTGGGTGGCTCAGTGAGTTAAAGCCTCTGCCTTTGGCTCAGGTCATGATCCCAGGGTCCTGGGATCGAGCCCTGCATCGGGCTCTCTGTTCAGCGGCGAGCCTGCTTCCCTCTCTCTTTCTGCCTGCCTCTCTGCCTACTTGTGATCTCTGTCAAATAAATAAATAAATTCTTTAAAAAAAAGTAGTTGTATTCAAAATACATAAAGAACTCTCAAACCTAAATTAAGAAAAATCTTAATAAAAAATTGTTAAGATTTTAAGACAATCACCAAAACAGACTTAAAAAAAATACACACACACACACACACACACACACACACACACACACAAACACAAGAAAAGATACTCAATATTAAATAGTCATCAGGGAAATGCAAATTAATATCATATTGAGTTATCACTACACACCTATATGGGTATCTAAAATTATAAGGACTGACCATACCAAATGTTGGTGAAGATGTAGAGTAATTGAAACTCTCAAAATGCTGTGGTGAAAGTACACTGGTAAAACCATTTCTGGAAATAGTTCAGCCACTTCTCTGAAAGTTCAACATAGACCTACCATGACCCAATCCTTCAGTTCCTAGGTTTTCACCCAAGGGACTTACATGTAAATGTCCACGGCATCTTTATTTATAATAGCCCCAAAGTGGAAATAACAAAAATGTTCATCAGCCAGTTAATGGATAAACAAACTATGGTATAGCCAAGCAATGGAATACTACTCATCAACACAAAGGAATCAACTGCTGATACACATAAAAAGATGGATAAATCCCAAAAGAATTATGCTGAAAGAAGACAGATTAAAAAAACAAAACAAAGCAAAAAAACCCAGCAAAGGTGATTCATGTTGTATGCTTCCATTTATATAAAAATAAGGAAAATGTAAACTAAACTATAGTGACAGAAAGCAGAGCAGTGGTTGCCTGGAATGCAGGGTGGGGGGAGGAAGAAGGAAGGAAGAATTATAAATGGATACAAAGAAAATTCTGGAGGCGCTAGATATATATGTTGTCTTGATTATGTTGTTAGTTTCACAGGTACATATATCTACATTTATCAAATTGAACACTTTAAATATATGCTATTTATATAAGCTTCTTCTCAAGAGTATTTTTTAAAAGTAAATATAAAAATTTTAGAAGTACTGAAAAAATAAAATATTATACAGGACTATGCTGGGCCTATTAAAGGATAATAATTAGTAAGAGAAAAGAAATCAAATGGATGAAATGGCTTTAGAAATAGCCCTACCATAATCTTTATGTTAAATCAGAAGGTGGTTCGAAATTTGGAAATATGTTGTCTGAACATAGTGCAAGTGTTCTTTATGCACCCTCAGTCTCAACACATATTTTCAGGTCTATTCAAATTTGCAATTAGAGCAAGTGACAACGTGGTGAATGCAGTGATCATAGTTGCTATGAAGTTCACTGTGACAATAGCAGAGATGATTAAGGAAGGATGTTTTTCTTCTAAAGATTTTCAAAGTTTATGAACTCAGCCTACTCAGTTAAATGCAGTCACACACACAATCAGCAGGGAGTCTAGAATATATTTGTTTAAAAAAGCTTTGAAGCTTTGCGCAGTGGCAGTATCGAAGCCAATGAGGTTTATCCGAGGCGCGATTATTGCTAATTAAAAAAGCTTTGAGGGGCAATTCATACTCCTATTTGGTAAACATCCATCTGTGGGCCACAAATTTAAGTTTCTGTCAAAGAGTTTATTGTAAAAAACTATTAAATTATTCAGAATTATACTAATAATTCGTA